ATTACTTTGTCATTTTAACAAAACAAAAAATAGTGTTTCCTTCTGATTGGGATAAGCTGTAACACTTTCTGGTAGTATTGCAGTTTTGCTCCTCCCTCACACCCCCAATATATTTCTATTGGCCCATACATTTGATGGGATGCCTTACATGTGTGGGATACGGTGCTTTTCCTGATCAGGAAGCCCAGCCTTTGGACAGATCAGGGGGTACTGAAAGCTGTAGAAGTTTTATGCAGCCTGTGCAAGGTGCCTGTACACTATACCTGTTAGCAGTTGTCTTTATTGTTAAAATGATATGAGTTTAAAATACATACAGAGGGAACAAAATACTTGTGTTTTTTTTGGTCAAGGCATTGCTATAGACCATTATAAACCAGTCTTTCTTGCTGGTTTGTGATGTAGGAGAAAGGTTCCTAAATACACCCTTTGTAGCTCTGCTTCAGAAGGTTTAAAGTAGACATAAACCAAACCTTTATATTCTCAGTTTTAAAAATGTTCTCTTCAAAGATGTTTTCAGTTGTTTTAAATATCTAACTTTCATTAAAATAATACCTTTTCATCCTGCCATGAAGGTCTTTAAGTTGTAGTCCTGTGTATCACCCTGTTACAGGCACCCTGGTTGACCCTACGAGCAACTAAAAGAGGCTGGAGGAAATCTGTAGCACTGATATGCAGAAAGGATAAAAAAAGTCAGATACATAATTCGATGTAATACAAATGTGGCATGTGTTTGACACTCAGAAAACGCTGCTCACTTAAGGTTGAAATTTACTTTATTTTGACAAAGTGTCAGTATTAGGATGTGTATATCACAGCCAACAATTAGATTCAAAGCTGCCTTGGAAGTTTGAATCTACAGGTGAAACTCAAAAAATTAGAATATTGTGCAAAAGTTCATTTATTTCAGTAATGCAACTTAAAAGGTGAAACTAATATATGAGATAGACTCATTACATGCAAAAGCAAGATAGTTCAAGCCGTGATTTGTCATAATTGTGATGATTATGGCTTACAGCTCATGAAAACCCCAAATCCACAATCTCAGAAAATTAGAATTTTGTGAAAAGGTGCAATTTTCTCGGCTCAAAGTGTCCCACTCTAATCAGCTAATTAGGCCATAACCCCTGCAAAGGGTTCCTGAGCCTTTAAATGGTCCCTCAGTCTGGTTCAGTAGGAATCACAATCATGGGAAAGATTGCTGAGCTGACAGTTGTGCAGAAAACCATCATTGACACCCTCCATAAGGAGGAAAAGCCTCAAAAGGTAATTGCAAAAGAAGTTGAATGTTCCCAAAGTGCTGTATCAAAGCACATTAATAGAAAGTTATGTGGAAGGGAAAAGTGTGGAAGAAAAAGGTGCACAAGCAGCAGGGATGACCGCAGCCTGGAGAGGTTTGTCAGGAAAAGCCCATTCAAAAGTGTTGGGGACTTTCACAAGGAGTGGACTGAGGCTGGAGTCAGTGCATCAAGAGCCACCACACACAGACAGATCCTGGACATGGGCTTCAAATGTTGTATTCCTCTTGTCAAGCCGCTCCTGAACAACAAAGAACGTCAGAAGCGTCTTACCTGGGCTAAAGAAAAACAGACTGTTGCTCAGCGGTCCAAAGTCCTCTTTTCTGATGAGAGCAACTTTTGCATCTCATTTGGAAACCGAGGACCCAGAGTATGCAGGAAGAATGAAGAGGCACACACTGCAAGATGCTTGAAGTCCAGTGTGAAGTTTCCACAGTCTGTGTTGATTTGGGGAGCCATGTCATCTGCTGGTGTTGGTCCACTGTGCTTCATTAAGTCCAGGGTCAACGCAGCTGTCTACCAGGAGATTTTGGAGCACTTCATGCTTCCTTCCGTAGACGACCTTTATGGGGATACTGACTTCATTTTCCAGCAGGACTTGGCACTTGCCCACACTGCCAAAAGCACCAAAATCTGGTTTAATGACCATGGGATTACTGTGCTTGATTTGCCAGCAAACTCGCCTGACCTGAACCCCATAGAGAATCTATGGGGCATTGCCAAGAGAAAGATGGGAGACATGAGACCGAACAATGCAGAAGAGCTGAAGGCCTCTATTGAAGCATCCTGGTCTTCCATATCACCTCAGCAGTGCCACAGGCTGATAGTTTCCATATCACGCTGCATTGAGGCAGTAATTGCTGCAAAAGGGGCCCAAACCAAGTACTGAGTACATATGCATTCTTATACTTTTCAGAGGTCCGATATTGTTCTATGTACAATCCTTGTTTTATTGATTGCATGTAATATTCTAATTTTCTGAGATTGTGGATTTGGGGATTTCATGAGCTGTAAGCCATAATCATCACAATTCTGACAAATCACGGCTTAAACTATCTTGCTTTGCATGTAATGAGTCTATCTCATATATTAGTTTCACCTTTTAAGTTGCATTACTGAAATAAATGAACTTTTGAACGATATTCTAATTTTTCGAGTTTCACCTGTAATTGGTGAAATATCAAGCAGTAAGAGCAGACGTTGCAGAACATATCCTTCAGGAGGTACACACTCATTGGCTATCTGAGTAGTTATCTGCATTCTGGCTGCAGAGAATAACAGGTATCTAAAATTATAGCAAACCACATGGAATTCAGACTGCACAGCTGAAGTGTTTGCTAGATTGAATTAGCAATTAGTTCACTGCTCCGATTTGTTCCCTGGAATGTCTCCCTGCAATGAACCCAAAAGGGAAAAAGTTGTAAAGCCTTTCTTAATTTGCATATAAGCTATTGCAAGACTTAAATCAGATCTTCACCCTCAAAACAAACCTCCCTCCTCTTCACCTCTGCTATATAAACATCATACTTTTTTGTTTATTAACCAAACTATTTCAGTCCTGCGCCCTTTGCACGTCACTGTCATAGGCAAATGATGTGCACTGTGCCTCCTAGAATATGCATGTCATTATCCCAGGAGGCATAGTCTTTCATTCAGAAAAGGATGAGGGGGCATGCCTAGTAAAGCACCCTTGGGAGGCCTGTCTCCTGAACCTGGACTAGCTGGCTGCCTCTTGATGATGTCACACAAAAACATGGCAACACAGTACCAAAGCAGTGACAGAACAGAAGAGGATCTCGGCAGGATAACGCTGGACCCACTGGGTGGGTAAATATCTGAACTTTGCAGAACTCGCAACCTGGTAAGCAGGGGTTTCAAAAAAATGGTGGGTGAAGAGCCCCTTTAAGCCAACCATACACTTTACGGTCTGATTTGCAGTCATTTATATTGACTAAAACTTTACTTTAATGAGACTCTGTCATGAAAAAGTAGGGGGCTGACATTGCATTGTTCTTTTTTGAATGTTAGTTCCCTGGTTGTTCTGCTGATATTTGGCTTTAATGCTTGGATCACTGTCATGGAATAAGTATAGAGAAAAGGAATGCAATGTAACCCCATATTTTTCTCATGACAGTGACACTTTAACATTCAAATGTATCCAACCAGACCCTGACACTATATAGTTGTGGGTAGATTGTACAGCCAGGTTATGTCATGTGTGGTAGAGCGTCTGAGCACCACAAAACTTGGAGCGCTTATGCTGCCCTAGAAATGCCTACTATTCAATGTGAATAATTCTTTATAATACCTAAAGTGGTTTTAAACCTGGGGCATGAAACAGGAACAAAGCCTCTCCCTGCATAGTGTGTATTCCCCTGAATCCAAAGCACTAAGTGTGGTTTTTCTATGAAATCTAATCCCTCTGCTGTCTACATAAGTCACTACAAAGACTTTAAACCAACTCCTCAGCTTTTGGGAGATGGCCTACCCCTCTGCAGCACACAGTCTGAGTACGGGGGTGTCTTCCCTTTCCTTTCCCTTCTTTCAGATATCAGGGAACTCTGTGCTCTAGCTCTGCAGTCTGTGACATCAGATCCCCACCCATTTCTTTCTAGAGCTGAGAGATGCTGTGTTTTGGTAGGCTGTAGAGAAGAGGATACCGCAGATAAACAGGTACAACTTTATATAGGATGATATGTTTCATCTCTGTGCATCACCCGAGGCTAGCCACTTCACTGGGTATACAGAATGTAAGGGTTTACAGCCATTTTTACTCCGCAGGTTTGTGTAAATAATCCTATTAGACTTTTCCATAGTGATAAGTCTTGGCTGTTTTTTACCAAAATGACCCGTATTGGCGAATATGTCCTTTTTTTTTTTTCATCCCTGAATGCATTCACTATATTTAAAAAAAAAAAAAAAGTAATAGACTAAATTATAAATTACTGTAGGCCAGTTTGTGTTGCTTAATGCAGACATTACCAGACCGCCACTTTGTAAAAAATACTGTTGGGTTTTAATGCATATTTCATCAGTAAGCTGAAGCTTGTTTTGCTAAAAATTTCCCTTTTTAATATGTATGTAATATGTATTTTTCCAGAAATTCACAAGGCTGATATTTCTTATAGCTCTGATATTCACTGTATGGTGCTATACTGCTGTCTTGATCATGTAATCTTCTTTCTGAAATATTTATATTGTGTTATGTTATTGATATTTTTAGGTGTATTCAGGAATCTCAAATATGTTTCTTTGATTTTTTTACACCGGTAGCTACACCTCCACAAGATACTGAACTGTGTGAGATGCTTGTCACTGGAGGTTTGCAGTATGCCACAGATGAATATTGGCAGAGACAGTTGATCACAGTGAAAAAGACTACAAAGAAATGTATATAATCATATACATGCCACTGTTTGACAACTACTATTGTGTTTTATCTTCAGCTATCTAACCATTATTGTCAAGAATGCAGTGAAACACCAAACTACCCGTGACTCTGGCAAATTGTTTTATTGGGTTATTCAGCCATTTGAATACTGGAAAAAAATACCTTTTTACTTCTAGAGCATTCTGCATTCAATAGTATTTACAGTTTGTGAATTTTGTCATATTGATAGAATTTAAAGCTTTAATCACTTCTTTTAGGGTCACCCTGAATGTCTTTTCTCCTATGCAAGTAATGTAGTGTACTTTCCTTTTCAGTAAACTGGCAAAGAAGCGCAAGGATGCCATGGGTAACACGCGTCAGGAGATGACGCATATGGTCAATGCAATGGATAGAAGTTATGCTGACCAAAGCACTCTGCATGCCGAAGACCCTCTGTCTATTACCTACATGGATTCTCACAACTTCACCCCCAGATGTAAGCACTCTCAAGGCAACATAATCCAAAAAAAATATGTTGTATGCATGATGCTATAGAAGGGATTGAATAATTTTATATTCTGATCAGGCTTAAAATGTATGAATTTATTCAAGGTTGCAAAGCAATTTAATGCTAAAATTTCAGCACTTTTCTAGAAATCTTTGCTATTTAGAACATTAAGATTTTGTACATGTGAACATATATCCTAACATTGTTTTATTGTCCACTTACATCTATTTCATTAATATAGACTAAAGAGATAACAAGTGAACAAACCCCTGGCCCAGTTAAAGAATTCAGATTTTTTTTTTTTTTTAATTTGACTCAATTTCAATTGACTCTTAGATTAGATGCACAACGTTCAGAAAAAAATCATCACTTAAAGTGGTAGTAAAGGTAAATGGGGGAAAAAAAAAAATTCCCCTTGCAAGGTAAAGGCATAATGTGCGCATACCAGGACATTATGAAAGACTTCCCTTGAAACAAAGCCCTCCAGCAGAGTGCTGTCACCTCTGCTTCCATCTTCACCTGGTCTTCCTTCTGGGTTCCTGGGCTGTGGCCGCTTGAATGGCTGAGCTGCGATGGCTTCACTCCCACGCATATGCACAGGAGCCACGGCTGCGGCAGAGCTCTGAAGGAACAGCATGGGTATGCCATTCCTTCAGATCGCATGCGCCGATGCTTGCTAGAATATCTCCTAAATGGTGCACACTTTGGAGATATTCATTTTACCTACAGGTAAGTTTACCTGTAAGTAAAATTAAGAAAATGGTTTACTGCCACTTTAAAGAGGCAGTCTATTTTTAAGGTCAAACTTTACCCATAACAACTTGATTTAAAAAATGTTCTATAGCAAGGAACATACATTCCACATTAGTAATGATGTTACCAAAATTAGTGTGTGCTGTAAATTTCCTCCAGCATTGTTCCTGTTTCTTCTTGCTGGAAGCTGCCATTTTGTTGAAGCCTAGAAGCCACTGAACAGCAGTAAATATTTAGGCTGTCAGCAGATCCACTTTAAGTGGCATTTTAGCTATAGGTATAGTCTGAAGGGCTAAATGAAATACTGGCATCTTGCACTTCCTGGAGAAAGCAGCAACATCATTTCTCAACTGCAGACACATACTTTGTTCCTACCCATCTGTGGTTATCCCCACTATTCCTGATGCATTCTCCTAAATATAAAATGCATAAGAAATTTACCAAAAGGAATGGACATGCCTCATAATTACCATAATAAATATGCTGACCTGGTTTCTGAACCCACAGTTCATATTGCCAGACCTCCCAGCATTCTATCAAACAGATTCTTTCGAGTGACCTTGGACTTTAAGGTAAACATAGTTGTATTGGGCTTTCTACCCTTGTAGCCATTAATTGGTAACATTACCATACCTGTCAGACTAATAGTATTTTAGTGAGACCCCAGGCAAATGGCCAGAAACACAGCTTAAATTCACATATTTTCCTATCCACGAAAGGATTTGTAAATTCCACTTTTATGTTTCCTGCACCTTTGCCAGACAGCAAAGCCAGGAGGTTGAGACTGATTTTTTTGTTTAAGTGTAAGATTACAGACCACCCACACTGCACATTTGTAAATAAAACATAAGAAACATACTGATAAGCCATTAGATCTGCTTACTCTGCTCTCTCCTCCTAGCCGTATGCTACTTATACGCATATGTGCATGCCACAGAGCCAGATTGCTGCACCTTTGTCTCCCATTCTGAGCATTGGGTGACAGTGATGACGGAGATTGATATTGAGACAGATTAAGAAACTTAATGTTGTATGTAAAACACATTTAATTATTTTAAAGAGAGTCTATCACCTACTAATAATTTGTAGGTAAAATAGAGTTTTTATATGCTTACTTGCATTATTTTTTCTTTCCACAAATCAACATAGCAACCACCAGCAGATGGGAAACACATTTTTATTCAATTTTAGTACTGTCCCTGATGCTTTCATGGGAAAAAACTCTAGCAAATAAAGTAATACAACATAAACAAATGCTACATTAGCCATATTGTAATTTAATGTTTTTAAAAATTACTTTTCCATTTCAACCTACAGTGCTGTAATGTTTTGTAAAATTCATTGCAATATGGCAACCTGGAGGAGTTTTGTTGTGGGGGTTTTTTTTGGGGTGGGGGGGAGGAGTTCTGTTTGGTTACAGAACATCTACAAAAATGTTATTTCCTGCTTATGCAGTTGACTCACTGGTTTTGACAGAAGTCTCCACTGAGGGAAGTCAGATTTTAGGCATCCTGTGCAACAGAAATTAATTTTTTGAGGAGTTACTCCCAAAGGGCTAAATACTTCTCTCATCAGAACACTGAAGGTGCACCAACTGATTATAACGAATACGAGACTCCCATTCTAAATCCATATTTAAAGGACATAGTGAAACAAACAGCTATTTATTCAGAACAGAAGCAGGTAGGAATCTGCAACAAAGTTTGGTAAAATGCAATATACATTTTCCACAAAAGTTAAGGTACTCTTTAAGCTTTAACTACTCCAGGAGAGTCAGTTCCCTAGTATAGGCCCTTCCCTTCGTGCATATACTAGCCCTAGTCTAATTACTCAATGTTCTGGCCAGGCATGTCTACGCCTTCCATTACTCTACCTAAATAATATGTTATACACAGTGGGGAAAATACATTTTTGTCCCCTGCAGATTTGTAAGTTTACTCACAAAGAAATGAAGGGTCTATAATTTTTAATTTTAGTGTAGTTTAAATGATGGAGACAGAATATCAACCAAAAATCCAAAAAAAGCAGGATACAAATGTTATAAATTGAGTTGCAGTTCAGTGAGTAAAATAGGTATTTTATCTCCTACCAACCAACAATAATTCTGGCTCCCACAGACTGGCTTTGTGCGCATGTGGTACACAGACTAGTCCTTTCAATTTAGGAAGGTGCTCCTAATGACAGCTTATGTGTATAATGGACATCTGTCCACAGAATCTATTTCTTCCATTCAAACCTCACCATCATGGGCAAATGACCAAAGAGCTGTCAAAGGACATCAGGGACAGGATTGTAGTCCTGCACAAGGCTGGAATGGGCTACAAGACCATCAGCAAGAAGCTTAGTGAGAAGGAAACAACTGTTGGAGCGATTTTTCGCAAATGAAAGAAATACAAAATAGCCATCAATCACCCTTGGTCTGGAGCTCCATGGAGGATTTTGCCTCATGGAGTAAGGATGATCATGAGAAAAGTGAGGGATCAGCCCAGAACTTACACGGGAGGAGCTTGTGAATGATGTCAAGGCAGTTGGGACCACAGTCACCAAACAAACCATTGGTAACACAATATGCCACCTTGGATTGAAATCCTGCAGTGCCCACAACATCCCCCTCCTCAAGAAGGCACATGTACAGGCCAGTTTGAAGTTTGCCAATGAACATCTAAATGATTCAGAGCAGGATTGGGAGAATGTGCTGTGGTCAGATGTGACCAAAATTGAGCTCTTTGGCATTAACTCGACTCACTTTATTTAGAAGTAGAAAAATGCTAACTATGACCATAAGAACACCATCCCTACAGTCAAGCACGGGGGTAGAAACATTATGCTTTGGGACTCTCTCTCTGCTAAAGGTACAGACCAACTTTGCTGCATTGAGGGGCCACTGGACGGGGCCATGTATTGTAAAATCTTGGATGTGAACCTTCTTCCTTCAAGCAGAACACTGAAGATGGGTCTTCCAGCATGACAATGACCCAAAACATACCGCCAAGGCAACAAAGGAGTGTCTCAAGAAGAAGCACAATTAAGGTCATGGAGTGGTCTTCAGACCTTAATCCTATAGAAAATTTATAGAGGGAGCTAAAACTTTGAGTTGTCAAGCAACAGCCAACAAACCTTAAGGATTTCAAGAAGATCTGTAAAGGAGAGTGGACCAAAATCCCTCCTGAGATGTGTGCAAACCTAGCAACCAACTACAAGAAACGTCTTACCTCTGTGCTTGCCAACAGGGGTTTTTCCATCAAGTTTTTCTTGGGGATCAAATACTTATTTTACTCACTGAACTGCAGCTCAATTTATAACATTTGTATCATGTGTTTTTCCTGGATTTTTGGTTGATATTCTGTCTCAATCTTTTAAAATACATATGATAAAATTTATAGACCATTCATTTCTTTGTAAGTGGGAAAACCTACAAAATCTGCAGGGAATCAAATAATTATTTCCCCCACTATTTGCTGCAGGTGAAGGAGTAAAGGGGAATACTATAGAACAGTGGTGGTCAACTTGAAAATTTTAGAGGTCCTCAATACAATCCCTAACACTAGGAGAGGGCCACACAAAACAGCATTTTTTTGTGCATTGAAATGCAAATGAAATGGCTGTAATGCACCTCAATGCCCAAAAAGTATTAGTCCTGCTGAATTTTTTTTTATAGCGTGCTGCAATACACACTGAAAAGAAGGCAATGTCAGTGGCAGCAATAGTTAATCATTCGCATTGATGTCAAAGAACACAATCAAGACCCCCAGCATCGGTGTCAATGGCTGCTGTTATAACTCCCAGCATTAGAGTCATGGTAGTAATAAGATTCTCTCTTTAGCTGGATAAATGTAGCAATGTCCAAGCTTTCTGAAATCAAGGCTGACTGCCCCAGACAGCACTAGCTTGTTTCTGGTGACAGCAGAATGTGTCTTTGCAGTAGAGCTTTTTGATTCTTCTGCTTGTATACATTTATTAGACTGCCGGTCAATTGCATGCTCATAAGTCTAATCCTGTCGTGTCCACTGAAGATAACATGACAGGATGGGGTTTATTTACTAAAGCTGGAGAGTCCAAAATCAGACTCCCTTCTGCATAGAAACCAATCAGCTTCTAACCTCAGCTTTTTCAATGAAGCTTTGGCAATGAAACCTGGAAGCTGATTGGTTTCTATGCAGAAGTGAGTCTGATTTTGCACTCTCCAGCTTTAGTAAATAAACCCCGATATGTCTACATGCTTATACAGTATTTAAGTGCCTGCTAAGTACAGCCAGAGTTCAAAGAAACTAACAACTGTTCCAAGACTTCACAGGTACCTGCTACTTGGACTACTCATACACAGGGCTAGGGAGAGGTAGCAGCTACCTGTGCTCAAAGGAAGCCTTTGACACACCAGGAAATGTATGGGAGAAACAAAATAATGGTGGCATATATGTTGCAGGAGCGTTGAACATTGTGTAGGATAACCTGTTGTGCAGTGACAGGAAAGTGACAGTGTCTTTTTAATTTTAATTTTTTTTTTATTGTTCCAGAAGTTTAGCTTTAACACATGTTCATTTTGACGTTATTAGATGGAGGTCGGTAGAAATGATTATGTAATATACAGGGTTATAGTATGCAACTTGTGGATCTATCGGCGCTGAATATTGATAGTGCACAATTTTTACATGGCTTTAATGATGATTTTTTGACACTAAATTCCACTGTATCTGCTTCTTTTACTCCGCTCCTTAGTTGCTTCCTCCATACATCTCTTGCAGCAATGCTTTTATTGGCTGTTTGAATGATCATTATATGCTAGAGCTATTCGTTTGTTACATCAGCTTTATAAAAGTGGCCCATCCATCCACAAATAATGCATGTCATATAAAGATAAGTTCAACACATGCATTCATATTCTGTTTGTCCTGTAAATTAACAGCCTCAGGGCAATTTTTATTGTGTAGTGACCAATGATTATATACTGACTTGCTAAAATCTGAAGAGCAAGTCTCCTCATTTCTTTGTGAGTGCATAAGCTTTAGATACTGGAACTTGTAAACTGAAGGCCGATTTGGTCTTGTCATCGAGGTCCGTAATGCACTTTTATTGTCCTTGTTGGCCTGCTGGAAGAATTCATCTGTTAATAGCCAGTGATGTCTTGTGCTAATTTTTTTTTTTTTGTCTGTTTCCAACTGCCAATACTGGAGGTAATGTGAATTTTCATGAGCTTTGTTTTCCTGCAGTGCCCAATGATCCACTTGTGCCGACTGCTGTGTTAGGTGAGGACCTAGTCTGACATTATCACAAGTTCACGCATGAATGATTTTCTTGCATGTGACTCAATGTTAAGAGCATTTATTTAGTGATTAGTTAGAATTTCCCACTAAAAGCATGTGATTTCAAACAGGCAGGTCCTGTTTAAGTATATTTCTCATGCATACAGAATTTTTGCCAGAATTAGTACTGTAAAATCTCCATTACAATAGGACTACAGGTATGTATCTCTAATACATGTTGTCTGATTGTCACACTATTCAAAGTATTTTAACTCACTGGAGTACCAATCTCAAAATGTATATGGTACAGATATTTGCAAAGATAAGGCATGGATCACATTGTAAAAAGGGTTTTTGTCTTGTGGAATTTTTTCATCCACTACCCAGCATCTTTTCTGACTACATTCTTCCAGTGTACCTCACAGGTTTCAAGCCTATGGAGAGTTAAGCAGACATGCATTCAGTGTGTGTGTGTTTGCTCTGTATCAGAAGCATATTTCAAGGGTTGATTTCTTGGAAATCATTTATTAGAATTTATTGTGCTTGGCCAGCTCCTACATCTACAGTATATGGAGAATAACATTTATACTAGTTTTTTAAACTAGCAAGTTTGCAAGTGTAAATGCTCTGCACAACGGTTTATAAATCCAGAATTAAATTATTGGCAGAAGAAGATTTGAAGGAAATGGCTCTCTTTTCCATAATTACAAAATAGAATAAAACTCATGTATATATTACTATTTGAACAAGTGGGATGTACTCTTTAGATGGTTATATATGATAAGAGGGTTTTAACAATAGGTCAACAAATATGGAAACTGCTTTTGCTTGCTAGGGTATGTCCTGGGAAATTTTAGGTTAGCAAATCTTGTGGTTGTAGGTTTTTACAGTAAATCATAGTCTTGTGGAACACAATTTTGTTTTGTTATATTTATTTGTAACGTATTTACATTAATTTGACTTTATTTTTACTCAAATGTCCTTTTTTTCAATAGCATTATACTTCTGATGTGCAGAGTTGCAGTCATCAGTTGGCTTCAACCAGTATTTCCCTGGCTCTTAACATCAGCTTATGAACCTGGCAAATTATGAAGGATAGTTGGGGATCCTCTCTAGCGAAGAACTACACAATTACTGACAAATTAGTTTAAGAAGGCACAGGGTAAAAAGAACACATTTTTTAAAAGTAGTTTGAGTAAGATAGTTCTGTTACTGAGCACTGCGGTTTTGTAGTCGGTACTTTATTTCAGGTTCCATTTTCTATTTCACGCCTGTGATACACTTCTTTTCCAATTATCTTTTCTATGGTAAAAGCTTAGTCACAAATAAACATACAATATCAAGCTATTTCAAGGGCTTTATTTTTATCTTGATAAAACAAAGAGAAATATGTGCTCCTGTAAAATAAATGCCAGCAGGTAATCTGGACTCATAAACCTAGTTTAAAAAAAAAAAAATCTTGAACATCCCAAAGGCATTTAATTTCAGTAGGCAGGAGTAGATAACTATGACCCTGTTATTTTTACTTCAGTATTCAACTAAGGCCATACTGAAATATAAAATCATTTCTTGTACTATCAAAGTACTTTATTCCAATGTACTGAAAACAAGATGTAAAGTATGTTTACATTTTGGTTTTCTTGCTTTTAATGTCTATCCTCTAATATGGATGGCATTTTAAAATGTTTTCCCTTAAATGGAACCTGTACTAAGGAAGATTAAAATTGAATTCCAGATTTACTTAAACTTTGAATAGTTTCCATACTAGAATGGTCTGATCACTGGGCCTGCTGTAATAGAATGTAGTAGCATTAGCTGCTTACAGTAAGCAGTGCTGAGTTCTGAAAGCAGTACAAGCAACTTCCTCTCTGCTGCCAGAGAGAGTCAGGCTTACGTCATCTCCTCCACTCAGAAGAGGCCTTTTCTTCTGATTTTTCCTCTGATTCGTGGAGAGGGAGAGGTGGGCAGACGACATTAAGAGCTTGTATTCTTTTGATGAAAATACAGGCGTACTTCAGTTTATGCACACCTCGGTTAATGTAATTTTCGATTTACAAATGAAAATCCATTGAAAATAATACCTTGGTTTACAATTTTTTTTTCGCAATACGAACAGATTATTTTGTTTTCAATGCATTTACAAATTAATTTTTAATCATATCCCTGTACAGTATTTATGCCTTTAAAGTGCACTTTATCAAGCGTTTTGAATAGATAAGACTTTTTTTTTTACTTTTTTATGACCTCCGGAACGGATTATTTGGCTTTCAATGCACTCCTATTAGAAAACCACGTTTCGGTTTACGAATTTTTCGCAGTGCGGAAAATCCCGCAGAACGTATTCAATTCGTAAACCGAGGTAAGCCTGTATTTGAATTGCAGAGATGCACTAAGACTAAGTCTTTTTATTTCTGGTGCAGATAGGAAGTTGATTTTACTGCTGCTGAAACACACCACCACTTACTGTATGTAGCTAATGCTGCTACAGTCTGTTACAGCACTCCCAGTGCCAGATTGTTCTGGCCAACTTGGCATAAACAAACAATTTAAAGTTAAAGTAAACCTAGAACTCTTTTAAGCTTGCCGTATTTACAGTCCACATACTCCCATGTCATCAGAGTCAGACTCCAAGAGGTCGGACATGCCTGTGTAAATTTTGGTTGCTGAGCAAGATGAAATGTACATTTCCTCTTTCTCCATGTGATAGCCCTCACGCCTGGAGATTGGCTTCTCAGGCACTGACTGCTGCATTTTGGAAGGGCCTGAATGATTGTTGTGTAATTTCCCCATACCTATTTGGGGGGATTGGGGTGGCAGGGAAGCACAAGGTGAAGCAAGTACAGCATGCTTAAAATTTCTCATCTAAAGTTAATCCATTACCCAAAATAGGCAAAGTACAGGTTCACATTCATAGAAAAAAATCAAATCAAATAAATAATCAAGCATTTATGTATATCACATTAGTTTTTCTATTTCATGTCAGTATACAAAAATAAAGTTGCTAGTAGTTTGTAAATTGTTCTGGGAAATATTGCTCCAGCTCTCTGTAGTAACACACAGAATTGTGTTTTGTGAAAAATATCCTTTAGGATTTTGCTGTCAGATTAACAGATTAAATCTCATAATTGTGGCAAAATGCATTTTATTTAGTGTTGCTTAGATAAGATATGACGTTGAGTGTTGTGTACACTTTGTATGCTTTTCTGTACATTGCTTTTTTGGTTTAGTAGTAGAAGTAGTCCTTGCAGTTATCAACTGTATTTTTTTTTTTTTGTCTGCATGGCTGTATTGTTCATCCATTTCACCCATCCCCGCTACCCATAAACATACCACCGTTTTGTATATCTACCTAATGTAGCCTGACTCAAGTGCTTGTCAAGATTTTATACAGAAACATGTTTTGTGTTTTCATTTTCTGCTGCTCTGGCTGGTACAGTGCCAATCACTGGTAAGTAGGAAGGTGTCCTATTGTATTAATACTTTTTTGCAGTATCTTACTTTTGAAATTAGGTCTTTATGTGACATTCCGAACAATTCGAAAGCTAGGCTTAACACTCTTGGTGCCACTCCGTGATATAAAGGCAGCTGCCAGCTTGCCACTCCCAGCTGTTGCTGCCAGCTGCCTACCCTCTGTACCTCTGACACAATGAAGCATGCAACATAGGTCTGGTTTATTTCAAGCTATTGCACAAATGAAAAAAGATATGTCACCCATATTTAATGGAACATTTACTCTTGAGCTCCCTTAAAAGGCCTGATTAATTACATTAAAATAAATATATTACATTCCAGTCTGCTCAGTTCCATAAGAAATCAAAAAGTGTCCCACAAACCATCTAAAGAAGTAACAACTTTTGTCTTCATAAATTGTAGTTTGAAACCGTAAAGCATTATGCTTGTCATGCTAAGGCTCCATGTACACTGCAGCTGATAAACTCACGCTTAGGAGATTTTCTGTGTTTTTTTTTCAGCTGCCCCTGAACTCCCCTTAATGTTTTCCTATGTGTCCATGTACACTGTCATTTACAGGCAGTTGAGTTTACAGTCGGTTTTTTGTACGCACCAAACTTGCTTTCAGGAGTAGATTTTATCAGCGTTTCAAATGCTAACCGCGTTTATATAAGCATTTGCATTGAAAATTTATTTTAACTCTTCCATTTCCAAATGCTGTCCAGAGCCTTTTTTCATCATGAAAATTGCATGCAAAGCATACTCAAATGGACCTGGTACACCATACTTTGAGGTTTCGCATGAAAGAAAATATGTTAGACACTGCTGCAAAAATTTCTGCACAGAACAAAACCGCTAATCTCAACAAATACTACTCTCTCTGCTTCTGCTCTCTCTATTTCTCTCAAAATGTCTGAAATAGTTAATTTTTGTACTGTTTTTCAGTGCATTCTGGGCATTTTGGAAGGTCTCCTGAGGTTATCTTTATAAAACACTTCTAAACACAGTATGCAAACACGGCTAAACAGATGTTTTTTAACCTACGTTTTCCAGCAGTCAGTTTCCATCGTTCAGAAGTGTTTTCCAAACATCCCATGTACATGAAGCCTTACACTGATTTACCTATGATCCCTCAATTAGAAGCTCTACCTGCAGATTGCCTTCAGCAAATGTGGTTATTTTTATTAAACGGAGAAATAATCACAATGTTATTCTTTCCAGGCTATGCTATGAGTATTAATTGTTTGGCAATTAAAATAAAGTGGAGTATAAAGCAATTCTTTAGGTATTTTTGAGTCCTAGTCAGAGAATGTCAGAGAGACCATGACTATCCAGCAAAAGAGTAAGACTGCTTAATAGCTCTCATGGCTTTCTGTTTTTACACAATGTTACTATAACCATGTATGTAGGACAAGCTGAGCTGTGGATTAACTAGAGGAGTTGCTACCTAAACCTGAATGGTAAGCTTTGAGAGGCTTTGTAGATACAGTATGCGTTCGGGACAAATGGAGACTATGGTGTCTCCATTAACATCTTGTATGTGTCCACCTTATCCTATCCTCTTTCCCAT